CTCTCTCTCTCTCTCTCTCTCTCTCTCTCTCTCTCTCTCTCTCTCTCTCTCTCTCTGTGTGTGTGTCTTTCTCTTTTCCTCACTACCTCTATACTCCTCTGTCTGTCTCTCCCTCTTTCTGTCTTCCTCTCCCTCTCTTTCTCTTCCTCTCTTTTTCTGTCTTTCTCCTCCTCTTTCTTTCTTTCCTTTTTCTGCCTCTCTGTCTCTCTATCTCTCCCTCTATCTGTCTTTCCACTTTCCTGCCCCTTTCTTTCTCTAAATCTTATCTCTTTAACTCTCTCCTTATTTATGTCACATAACACACACAATAATGATATTAATACAGACACACACTTAAAACACTTACACACACCCACACTCCACACTCACACACTCATACACACTCACGCACACACACACACACCACCTCCTCCGCAGGGGTTTTTCCCTCTCTTCTCTGTGCGTGTTGCTGCCCGCATTGCCAGTGTGTGTGCGCGTGGGGGCGTGTTTTGTGTGTGTGTGTGTGTGTGTGATGACGCTGTGGGCTGGAGAAGCTGCGCGCGCTACACGAGGCTCAGAATGCGACAACACAAGCACGAGGTTCATAGTACACTCCACACACACACACACGCACGCACACACACACACACACACACACACACACGCACTGAGAGTTTTCCTGCTCAGGTTCTGCTCCAGCTGCACACCAGACACACACACACATACACACACACTCTCACCCTCACACACACACTCTGAGAGTTATCCTGAACAGATTCTGCTCCAGCTGCTCACCACACACACACACACACACACACACACACACACACCCCATAAAGGTGCAGAAGGAACTCACCTGGAGGAAAGTTTTTAAAGCGATGAAAGACAGCGAGCCGCCGCTTCTTCTTCTCCTCCAGCAGGTCTGATCTCGCGCAGGAACAGGACTGGAGTTCTCCGACACTCCGATCTCACAGAAGAACCTCGTCTGAGGAACATCTCCTGATCTTATCTGAGAGGAGCTGGAGCAGGA